TTTCCATTTTAACTGATGTAGGCTGAGCATAAATAATTACATCTGTCATGTAATTACAATTTTTGACTAAGCAAGTGTGTGAACATATTGCCCAAGACGCTTTGCGAGTTAATGGCTTCACTTAATATGTAGCCCCTTTGTACCTCCAAGTGTACCTCTGTCTTATGCACCCTTCTGTACCTTCAGGTGGCGGCACCAGACAACTTCAACGGTAGATCCGCCAAAGAATTTGAACATCAGAATACTTATATCATAACACAAGAGGTGTTAGTCATGGCTAGTACTGAGGTTACGTGGCTAAGAAGGCGCTCTAGACCTCGCCTCACCGTAGAGTCACTAATAGATAAGTGCTGATAGACAAGTAGACTCGACCGCTGGGCCTTTGTGAGGGGTCAACAAGAGCCTTCACTACACCGTGTGTGTGTGTGGCAGCCCAACTCTTAATTATATGGCCCGAGTCACTGTTGGTTCACCAGCTGAGGGGTGGTGAGTACTGGGGGGCGTGGGAGAGTATTGGGGAGCGTGGGTGAGTATTGGGGAGCGTGGGTGAGTATTGGGGGGCGTGGGAGAGTATTGGGGAGCGTGGGTGAGTATTGGGGAGCGTGGGTGAGTATTGGGGGGCGTGGGAGAGTATTGGGGAGCGTGGGTGAGTATTGGGGAGCGTGGGAGAGTATTGGGGAGCGTGGGAGAGTATTGGGGAGCGTGGGAGAGTATTGGGGAGCGTGGGAGAGTATTGGGGAGCGTGGGAGAGTATTGGGGAGCGTGGGAGAGTATTGGAAAGCGTGGGAGAGTATTGGGGAGCGTGGGAGAGTATTGGGGAGCGTGGGAGAGTATTGGGGAGCGTGGGAGAGTATTGGGGAGCGTGGGAGAGTATTGGGGAGCGTGGGAGAGTATTGGCGAGCGTGGGTGAGTATTGGGGAGCGTGGGAGAGTATTGGGGAGCGTGGGAGAGTATTGGGGAGTGTGGGAGAGTATTGGGGAGCGTGGGTGAGTATTGGGGAGCGTGGGTGAGTATTGGGGAGCGTGGGTGAGTATTGGGGAGCGTGGGAGAGTATTGGGGAGCGTGGGAGAGTATTGGCGAGCGTGGGAGAGTATTGGGGAGCGTGGGAGAGTATTGGGGAGCGTGGGAGAGTATTGGGGAGCGTGGGTGAGTATTGGGGAGCGTGGGAGAGTATTGGGGAGCGTGGGAGAGTATTGGCGAGCGTGGGAGAGTATTGGGAGTGTGGGAGAGTATTGGGGAGCGTGGGTGAGTATTGGGGAGCGTGTGAGAGTATTGGGGAGCGTGGGTGAGTATTGGGGAGCGTGGGAGAGTATTGGGGAGCGTGGGAGAGTATTGGGGAGCGTGGGAGAGTATTGGGGAGCGTGGGAGAGTATTGGGGAGCGTGGGAGAGTATTGGGGAGCGTGGGTGAGTATTGGGGAGCGTGGGAGAGTATTGGCGAGCGTGGGTGAGTATTGGGGAGCGTGGGAGAGTATTGGGGAGCGTGGGAGAGTATTGGGGAGCGTGGGAGAGTATTGGGGAGCGTGGGTGAGTATTGGGGAGCGTGGGGGAGTATTGGCGAGCGTGGGAGAGTATTGGGGAGCGTGGGAGAGTATTGGGGAGCGTGGGTGAGTATTGGGGAGCGTGGGAGAGTATTGGCGAGCGTGGGAGAGTATTGGCGAGCGTGGGAGAGTATTGGGGAGCGTGGGAGAGTATTGGGGAGCGTGGGTGAGTATTGGGGAGCGTGGGAGAGTATTGGGGAGCGTGGGTGAGTATTGGGGAGCGTGGGGGAGTATTGGCGAGCGTGGGAGAGTATTGGGGAGCGTGGGAGAGTATTGGGAGCGTGGGAGAGTATTGGCGAGCGTGGGAGAGTATTGGAGAGCGTGGGAGAGTATTGGGGAGCGTGGGAGAGTATTGGGAGCGTGGGAGAGTATTGGCGAGCGTGGGAGAGTATTGGAGAGCGTGGGAGAGTATTGGCGAGCGTGGGAGAGTATTGGCGAGCGTGGGAGAGTATTGGAGAGCGTGGGAGAGTATTGGCGAGCGTGGGTGAGTATTGGGGAGCGTGGGTGAGTATTGGGGAGCGTGGGAGAGTATTGGGGAGCGTGGGTGAGTATTGGGGAGCGTGGGAGAGTATTGGGGAGCGTGGGAGAGTATTGGGGAGCGTGGGAGAGTATTGGGGAGCGTGGGAGAGTATTGGGGAGCGTGGGAGAGTATTGGGGAGCGTGGGAGAGTATTGGGGAGCGTGGGAGAGTATTGGGGAGTCACACCACCTGTTGCTCGACGCACACCATCTGTTTCTCGACACTTCACCTGTTGCTCGACACTTCTCCTGTTGTTCGACACTTCTCCTGTTGCTCGACACTTCACCTGTTGCTCGACACTTCTCCTGTTGCTCGACACTTCTCCTGTTACTCGACACTTCTCCTGTTACTCGACACACTTCACCTGTTGCGCGACACTTCTCCTGTTGCTCGACACTTCACCTGTTGCTCGACACACTTCACCTGTTGCTCGACACTTCTCCTGTTGCTCGACACTTCTCCTGTTGCTCGACACTTCTCCTGTTACTCGACACTTCTCCTGTTACTCGACACACTTCACCTGTTGCTCGACACTTCTCCTGTTGCTCGACACTTTTCCTGTTGCTCGACACACTTCTCCCGTTGCTCGACACTTCTCCCGTTGCTCGACACTTCTCCTGTTGCTCAACACTTCACATGTTGCTCGACACTTCTGTTGCTCGCCACACATCACCTGTTGCTCGACACTTCTCCTGTTGCTCGATACTTCTCCTGTTGCTCAACACTTCTCCTGTTGCTCGCCACACATCTCCTATTGCTCGACACTTCACCTGTTGCTCGACACTTCTCCTGTTGCTCGACACTTCACTTGTTGCTCGACACTTCACCTGTTGCTCAACACTTCCCCTGTTGCTCAACACTTCTCCTGTTGCTCGACACTTCTCCTGTTGCTCGACACTTCACCTGTTGCTCGACACTTCTCCTGTTGCTCGACACTTCTCCTGTTGCTCGACACTTCTCCTGTTGCTCGACACTTCTCCAGTTGCTCGATACTTCTCCTGTTGCTCGACACTTCTCCTGTTGCTCGACACTTCTCCTGTTGCTCGACACTTCTCCTGTTGCTCGACACACTTCACCTGTTGCGCGACACTTCACCTGTTGCGCGACACTTCACCTGTTGCTCGACACTTCTCCTGTTGCTCGACACTTCTCCTGTTGCTCGACACTTCTCCTGTTGCTCGACACTTCTTCTGTTGCTCGACACTTCTCCTGTTGCTCGACACACTTCACCTGTTGCGCGACACTTCACCTGTTGCGCGACACTTCACCTGTTGCTCGACACTTCTCCTGTTGCTCGACACTTCTCCTGTTGCTCGACACTTCACCTGTTGCGCGACACTTCTCCTGTTGCTCGACACTTCTCCTGTTGCTCGACACTTCTCCTGTTGCTCGACACTTCACCTGTTGCTCGACACTTCACCTGTTGCTCGACACTTCTCCAGTTGCTCGATACTTCTCCTGTTGCTCAACACTTCTCCTGTTGCTCGCCACACATCTCCTGTTGCTCGACACTTCTCCTGTTGCTCGATACTTCACATGTTGCTCGACACTTCACCTGTTGCTCGACACTTCACCTGTTGCTCGACACTTCACCTGTTGCTCGATACTTCTCCTGTTGCTCGATACTTCTCCTGTTGCTCGACACTTCACATGTTGCTCGACACACTTCACCTGTTGCTCGACACTTCACCTGTTGCTCGACACTTCTCCTGTTGCTCGATACTTCTCCTGTTGCTCGACACTTCACATGTTGCTCGACACACTTCACCTGTTGCTCGACACTTCACCTGTTGCTAGACACACATCTGTTGCTCGACACTTCTCCTGTTGCTCGATACTTCACATGTTGCTCGATACTTCACATGTTGCTCGACACTTCACCTGTTGCTCGACACTTCACCTGTTGCTCGACACTTCTCCTGTTGCTCGATACTTCTCCTGTTGCTCGACACTTCACATGTTGCTCGACACACTTCACCTGTTGCTCGACACTTCTCCTGTTGCTCGACACTTCACCTGTTGCTAGACACACATCTGTTGCTCGACACTTCTCCTGTTGCTCGATACTTCACCTGTTGCTCAACACTTCACCTGTTGCTCGACACTTCTCCTGTTGCTCGACACTTCACCTGTTGCTCAACACTTCACCTGTTGCTCGACACTTCTCCTGTTGCTCGACACTTCACCTGTTGCTCGACACTTCTCCTGTTGCTCGACACTTCACCTGTTGCTCAACACTTCACCTGTTGCTCAACACTTCACCTGTTGCTCGACACTTCTCCTGTTGCTCAACACTTCACCTGTTGCTCGACACTTCACCTGTTGCTCAACACTTCACCTGTTGCTCAACACTTCACCTGTTGCTCAACACTTCACCTGTTGCTCAACACTTCACCTGTTGCTCGACACTTCTCCTGTTGCTCGACACTTCTCCTGTTGCTCGACACTTCACCTGTTGCTCAACACTTCACCTGTTGTTCAACACTTCACCTGTTGCTAGACACAAGTAACCTGTTTGTGTTTGTGTGCGTGTGTGTGTACTCACCTATTTGTGCTTGCAGGATCGAGCATTGTCTCTTGGATCCAGTGTGTGTGTGTGTGTGTGTGTGTGTGTGTGTGTGTGTGTGTATGTATGTGTGTGTGTGCGCGTGTGTGTGCGTGCGTGTGTGTGTGTGCGCATGGGTAAGGATAATACTCACAGTTGAGTGTGCCCAGGAAGTTCACACCTCCACCGCGACACAAGACGCCAATCTGAACTTAACCAATCATTACTTTTCTCAACATATTACACTGCTAACCTTGCCCCGGCCGGGTCGGTGTGGTCATCACTTCGTCACGCTCCACAACAAATATTCGCGCCGTTATATGAAGCGCAACAAATCAAGAAACAATTCGTCTTTTTCATAATAGTTATCGCGAGGCTTTTATATACTGTATGAGGGATGTTTGCCAGTTACTCGGCCAGGGAGGGCTCTGAGGGCCACTCGGCCAGGGACGGCTCTGAGGGTCACTTGGCCAGGGAGGGCTCTGAGGGCCACTTGGCCAGGGAGGGCTCTGAGGGCCACTTGGCCAGGGAGGGCTCTGAGGGCCACTTGGCCAGGGAGGGCTCTGAGGGCCACTTGGCCAGGGAGGGCTCTGAGGGCCACTCGGCCAGGGAGGGCTCTGAGGGCCACTTGGCCAGGGAGGGCTCTGAGGGCCACTTGGCCAGGGAGGGCTCTGAGGGCCACTCGGCCAGGGAGGGCTCTGAGGGCCACTTGGCCAGGGAGGGCTCTGAGGGCCACTTGGCCAGGGAGGGCTCTGAGGGCCACTCGGCCAGGGAGGGCTCTGAGGGCCACTTGGCCAGGGAGGGCTCTGAGGGCCACTTGGCCAGGGAGGGCTCTGAGGGCCACTTGGCCAGGGAGGGCTCTGAGGGTCACTTGGCCAGGGAGGGCTCTGAGGGCCACTTGGCCAGGGAGGGCTCTGAGGGCCACTTGGCCAGGGAGGGCAGTGAGGGCCACTTGGCCGCCGGGGTTGGCACTGCGTGCTGCTTGTCCGCTCACTGGCCCAGGTGATACTACACTATAGCCGTGTCAGCGCCCCTGTCCGCTGACCTCCAGCAGAGGAGGAGGAGGCGTGGAGGAAGAGACGAGAGGGGACGTGTGAGGGAGGCGTGTGAGGGAGCCACGTGACTCCAAGGTGAGGGGGCGTGTGAGGTGGGGGAGGGTCGGCCTCGGGTCTCAATAGAGCCAAGTAAGGGTGGGACGGAAGGCTGGCAGTGTTGGGCTAGGGGGGAGGGATAGATGAGACGTGTCAGGGTAGTCCCCCGCGCCACTATTGCCTTGAGTCCCCAGCGGCCGGCTATGGTAGCTTCCGGGTACTCACACCCCGCCTGGGGGGGGGGGTGTCTTTGTAAACTTCATTTACAACTTCCATTTTCTTGTTAGATCTGTGCTTAATAAAGATATTACAGGAACTTTCCCTGGGAAATACTCACGTTTTTATTAAGTTTTAAAACACTTTTAAGCGATTTTCATATAAGAAGTTCGTCTCCTTTAGCTTTACTGGCCGCCAGATAGACTTCTTGGAGGGTGGACAAGCCAGGAGGGAGACAAGAGAGAGGGACACTGTGGGAGAAGTCCTCTTGGCGGTGTCTGTAGCGCAAGTGACGGCGCCTGTCCCCGTGGCCGCCTTATATACCCTCGGCCCACCTACCTGCTCAGGCCGGAACTGCACAGCTTTTTGCCGCGAGAAGTTCAGTCGGTCAGCATCTTTCCAGACGTTGGTGAACAGTCAGTCGGCTGACGGCGTCGCTGGCTGACAGCCGGAGTAGAGGGGAAAGCTGCTGCGTTGGTCTGGGAAGGTGTCGGTGATTGGGTTATCTGTGCTGATTCGATTTGAACTGGTTTGGTTGTGAAAGTTGGTTTGTTGATTCTTGGTTGGTGTTGGAGGTGCCTGTAACTGGCTGTTGGAGGTGCCTGTAACTGGCTGTTGGAGGTGCCTGTAACTGGCTGTTGGTGTTGGAGATGCCTGTAACTGGCTGTTGGAGGTGCCTGTAACTGACTGTTGGAGGTGCCTGTAACTGGCTGTTGGAGGTGCCTGTAACTGGCTGTTGGAGGTGCCTGTAACTGGCTGTAGGAGGTGCCTGTAACTGGCTGTTGGAGGTGCCTGTAACTGGCTGTTGGAGGTACCTGTAACTGACTGTTGGAGGTGCCTGTAACTGGCTGTTGGAGGTGCCTGTAACTGGCTGTTGGAGGTGCCTGTAACTGACTGTTGGAGGTGCCTGTAACTGGCTGTTGGAGGTGCCTGTAACTGGCTGTTGGAGGTGCCTGTAACTGGCTGTAGGAGGTGCCTGTAACTGGCTGTTGGAGGTGCCTGTAACTGGCTGTTGGAGGTGCCTGTAACTGGCTGTTGGAGGTGCCTGTAACTGGCTGTTGGAGGTGCCTGTAACTGGCTGTTGGAGGTGCCTGTAACTGGCTGTAGGAGGTGCCTGTAACTGGCTGTTGGAGGTGCCTGTAACTGGCTGTTGGAGGTGCCTGTAACTGGCTGTTGGAGGTGCCTGTAACTGGCTGTTGGAGGTGCCTGTAACTGACTGTAGGAGGTGCCTGTAACTGGCTGTTGGAGGTGCCTGTAACTGGCTGTTGGAGGTGCCTGTAACTGGCTGTTGGAGGTGCCTGTAACTGACTGTAGGAGGTGCCTGTAACTGGTTGTTGGAGGTGCCTGTAACTGGCTGTTGGAGGTGCCTGTAACTGACTGTTGGAGGTGCCTGTAACTGGCTGTTGGAGGTGCCTGTAACTGACTGTTGGAGGTGCCTGTAACTGGCTGTTGGAGGTGCCTGTAACTGGCTGTTGGAGGTGCCTGTAACTGGCTGTGGGTGTTGGAGGTGCCTGTAACTGGTTGTGGGTGTTGGAGGTGTCTGTAACTGGTTGTGGGTGTTGGAGGTGTCTGTAACTGGCTGTTGGTGTTGGAGGTGTCTGTAACTGGTTGTGGGAGTTGGAGGTGCCTGTAACTGGTTGTGGGTGTTGGAGGTGTCTGTAACTGGCTGTGGGTGTTGGAGGTGTCTGTAACTGGTTGTGGGTGTTGGAGGTGTCTGTAACTGGCTGTTGGTGTTGGAGGTGTCTGTAACTGGTTGTGGGTGTTGGAGGTGTCTGTAACTGGTTGTGGGTGTTGGAGGTGTCTGTAACTGGCTGTTGGTGTTGGAGATGTCTGTAACTGGCTGTTGGTGTTGGAGGTGTCTGTAACTGGCTGTTGGTGTTGGAGGTGTCTGTAACTGGTTGTGGGTGTTGGAGGTGTCTGTAACTGGTTGTGGGTGTTGGAGGTGTCTGTAACTGGCTGTTGGTGTTGGAGGTGTCTGTAACTGGTTGTGGGTGTTGGAGGTGTCTGTAACTGGTTGTGGGTGTTGGAGGTGTCTGTAACTGGTTGTGGGTGTTGAAGGTGTCTGTAACTGGCTGTGGGTGTTGGAGATGCCTGTAACTGGCTGTGGGTGTTGGAGGTGTCTGTAACTGGCTGTTGGTAGTGATGCGACGCTGGTAAATGACTAGTCACTGATGGGGCGCTGATGACTGGCCAGTCTGTGATGGGGCGCTGGAGATTGGCCAGTCACTGATGGGGCGCTGATGATTGGCCAGTCGGTGATGTAGCGATGGAGATTGGCCAGTCAGTGATATGGCACTGGAGAATGGCCAGTCGGTGATGTGGCGCTGGAGATTGGCCAGTCAAGTGCCAGGCGGTGTACGCGTGGCCACCCGTCCAATTACTAGCCGTAATCTGAATTAATGACGCGCACGCACTCCCAACACTGTTGCTGTTTTTGGTCAGTGTTGGGACGTGTCCGATCTGTTTAGTCAGTGTTAACGGTTGATAGTTCTATACAGCAGTTCTATACATTCTATACAGGTTGTTCTATACAGCAGCTATAAACATCGGCGCTGAGTATATGACTAGAAATGAACATCGATGATTGGCTTGTGACTGGCGTTGAACATCAGTGATTGGCTTCGGAGTGCCGGCTTCGAAGAGCTAGTTATCAAACACATCTTAAGGTCACTCATGTAATGTTATTGAAGAGGCCGACGGGGGTGTTGGCAGCTCACGCCTTCAGCTGTCTTCAGGGCCAGAGCTGGTGCTGCTGGAGGACGTCCCTCTTACTCCGGATGGGGTGCCTAAGAGACCTACCTGTTGATCCGGATACAATGTAGCTAACAGACCTCCCTGTTGATGCGGATACATTGTAGCTAACAGACCTCCCTGTTGATCCGGATACAGTGTAGCTAACAGACCTTCCTGTTGATCCGAATACAATGTAGCTAACAGACCTCCCTGTTGATCCGGATACAATGTAGCTAACAGACCTCCCTGGTGTTCCGGACACAATGTAGCTAACAGACCTCCCTGTTGATCCGGATACAATGTAGCTAACAGACCTCCCTGTTGATCCGGACACAATGTAGCTAACAGACCTCGCTGTTGATCCGGACACAATGTAGCTAACAGATCTCCCTGTTGATCCGGACACAATGTAGCTAACAGACCTCCCTGTTGATGCGGATACATTGTAGCTAACAGACCTCCCTGTTGATCCAGATACAATGTAGCTAACAGATCTCCCTGTTGATCCGGACACAATGTAGCTAACAGACCTCCCTGTTGATCCGGACACAATGTAGCTAACAGACCTCCCTATTGTTCAGAACACATTATAGTTAACAGAGCTTCCTGTTTCTCCAGACACAGTGTAGGCAAAAAGAGTACTGTTGCACTCTTGCTCTGGATACAGTGGAACCAACAGGGAGAATCTGTTGCCCCTATAAAAGTATACCCAACATACCTCTCTGTGACTCATGACAATGTTGTTCTGGGCACTGAAATACCCACATTGTCGTGTTTGTGTTCACTGTGAATTATGCACAGACTACTCGCAGACACTGAGACACGGACTGCTGTGACTCGTCTGTGAGCAGTGTGGCCTGACTCGTCAGTCAGCAGTGTGGCCTGACTCGTCTGTGAGCAGTGTGGCCTGACTCGTCTGTGAGCAGTGTGGCCTGACTCGTCTGTGAGCAGTGTGGCCTAACTCGTCTGTGAGCAGTGTGGCCTTACTCGTCTGTGAGCAGTGTGGCCTGACTCGTCTGTAAGCAGTGTGGCCTGACGCGTCAGTGAGCAGTGTGGCCTGACTCGTCTGTGAGCAGTGTGGCCTGACTCGTCTGTGAGCAGTGTGGCTTGACTCGTCTGTGAGCAGTGTGGCCTGACTCGTCTGTGAGCAGTGTGGCCTGACTCGTCTGTGAGCAGTGTGGCCTGACTCGTCTGTGAGCAGTGTGACCTGACTCGTCTGTGAGCAGTGTGGCCTGACTCGTCTGTGAGCAGTGTGGCCTGACTCGTCTGTGAACAGTGTGGCCTGACTCGTCAGTGAGCAGTGTGGCCTGACTCGTCTGTGAGCAGTGTGGCCTGACTCGTCAGTGAGCAGTGTGGCCTGACTCGTCTGTGAGCAGTGTGGCCTGACTCGTCAGTGAGCAGTGTGACCTGGCTCTCAAAAATTATGCCTTCGGGAATATTTACAAAACATCTTGGAACCCTTCTCTGCGCGGCGAATATTACCACGTTCCTCGCGAAGGTTTAGAGACGCGGAAAGACCGGATGAAATGCCGGTTTCGAAAAAGGTTAGAAGGTTTACTGACCCCCATAATTACCGGGTGACATAATGGACGTGCGGGAAGGGAGGTGGGGTTGGGTCAGGCGAGGTCGCTGGAGTGTTTCAAGCGTAGGTTAGCCATTACATAAATGAGTTTGGGTGGATATGAATAGAAGCGGGCTCTTATGGGCCAAAAGGCCTTCTGCTATTATTTGTGCGTGTTCGTACGATTGTAAGTATGTTAACGAAGGATTAATGAACTTTGAGTAATGTACCTGAAGGAGTAATTCACACAGCAGCCGATGAAGGAGAGGAGGTGGCCGGCAGGTGCCATCCAGCTATATAAAGAAAACCTCTGGAATCTTGGAAGAAAAGACGTAGGCTAGGGGGGGGCTAGGGGGTGGGCTAGGGGGGGCTAGGGTGTGGGCTAGGGGGGCTAGGGGTGGGCTATGGGGGGGGCCTAGGGGGTGTGGGGTGATGGAAGGGTAAGGGGTGGGTGGGTGTGGGTGGGTGTGGGTGGGTGGTGGGTGGGGGCGGTTCTGTCTGGAACTTGTTAGGAGGTGAAAAGGGGAGGTTGATACGTGCTTAACGATTATAGCCTGGATGGGAGGAAGGGGGAGAGGGGGGACTCCAGGGAGAGGATGAGGGAGGGGGGGGGGGGTGTTGGGATGGGAAGGAAGGGATGGGTTCGTTGGGAAGGAAGCGGGTGGGGAGTTACGAGCTCTTTGGCTTCCATCCCATCCACCACAAGAGAAGAGAATGGGATGGGTGGAAAGGGAATGTGGGCGGAGGATGAGAGGGGAGACGATGGAATAGGAAAGGAGAGGATGAGAGGGAAAAGCACGGAAGGGGAAACTGCGTTATGCGTCTCTGGTTCTCCTCTTCCATCTTATCCTTAGTAATCCTACACCCACTAAGGTAAAAAAAGGAAAATGAAAAACTTGTCTTTCTGGGTTTTTATGAAAACCAATCATAGCTCCTTTAATTCGTTTATTATGGACTTCGTACCCCTTCCTGTGGGCGCTGGAGGGTCTATTGGTGCAAGTGGTTGGGCACAGTTCCTGCACTGCACCTTCATATCCCAGCTCCTGTCCTCATATTCCTGCCAAATGCTGTAAAGTGATGACGGCTTGGTGTCTTGCTACTGATATCCGCCCTACCGTCCTCTATCTCTAACTGTAAGCGGCATACATAATAAACCTTTAAATGTTGACAAGAGTAAACTGTATACCCCCCTTCCCCCCCTTGAAGGGTACCAACTACCAACAGTTTACCAGACGAGACCATCAACCCCCCCCCCCAAGGTAGACTCAAACGTTTACCCTTATAGTTCCCATATTCGGGGACAGGAAGCCCGCAAGGCTTATTGAGGTCCCCCTTAGGGCCTAGGCCACCCTCTGCCCTTCCCCAGGACACACAACACAGTTTCCTAACTCCCAGATACCTATTTTCTGCTGGGTGAACAGAAGCATCAGTCAAAGAACAAAGAAAATGTGCCCATCAGTCTCGATCCCGCCCGGGGGGATCGAACCCGGGACCCCCCTGTTGTGTGTCGAGGACGTACTCTGTAGTACTGGCTGTGGAAGAGTGAGGCACAGCAGCCGAGCCTCGACCAGACACAGCAATGGTCTGGAAAGTGCATTTGTGATACTGAAGACGAAGAGGGCGACCAGACACACAGCCCCGACAGGGACAGCGGCCAGGATAAGGGAGAGGGCGACCAGACACACAGCCCCGACAGGGACAGCGACCAGGATAAGGGAGAGGGCGACCAGACACACAGCCCCGACAGGGACAGCGACCAGGATAAGGGAGGATAGACCAGACACTCAGCCCCGACAGGGACAGCGACCAGGATAAGGAAGAGGGCGACCAGACACACAGCCCCGACTGGGACAGCGACCAGGATAAGGAAGAGGGCGACCAGACACACAGCCCCGACAGGGACAGCGACCAGGATAAGGGAGGTTAGACCAGACACACAGCCCCGACAGGGACAGCGACCAGGATAAGGGAGGATAGACCAGACACTCAGCCCCGACAGGGACAGCGACCAGGATAAGGAAGAGGGCGACCAGACACACAGCCCCGACAGGGACAGCGACCAGGATAAGGAAGAGGGCGACCAGACACACAGCCCCGACAGGGACAGCGACCAGGATAAGGGAGGATAGACCAGACACTCAGCCCCGACAGGGACAGCGACCAGGATAAGGGAGGTTAGACCAGACACACAGCCCCGACAGGGACAGCGACCAGGATAAGGGAGGATAGACCAGACACACAGCCCCGACAGGGACAGCGACCAGGATAAGGGAGGATAGACCAGACACACAAGCCCCGACAGGGACAGCGACCAGGATAAGGAAGAGGGCGACCAGACACTCAGCCCCGACAGGGACAGCGACCAGGATAAGGGAGGATAGACCAGACACTCAGCCCCGACAGGGACAGCGACCAGGATAAGGGAGGTTAGACCAGACACACAGCCCCGACAGGGACAGCGACCAGGATAAGGGAGGATAGACCAGACACACAGCCCCGACAGGGACAGCGACCAGGATAAGGGAGAAGAGACCAGACACACAAGCCCCGACAGGGACAGCGACCAGGATAAGGGAGGATAGACCAGACACACAGCCCCGACAGGGACAGCGACCAGGATAAGGGAGAAGAGACCAGACACACAAGCCCCGACAGGGACAGCGACCAGGATAAGGAAGAGGGCGACCAGACACTCAGCCCCGACAGGGACAGCGACCAGGATAAGGGAGGTTAGACCAGACACACAGCCCCGACAGGGACAGCGACCAGGATAAGGGAGGATAGACCAGACACACAGCCCCGACAGGGACAGCGACCAGGATAAGGGAGAAGAGACCAGACACACAAGCCCCGACAGGGACAGCGACCAGGATAAGGGAGGATAGACCAGACACACAGCCCCGACAGGGACAGC